AGCTGGTAGGGAAGCCAGGGATTGTCCAGTTGTTGTAGGCTTCCAAGTTTTTGCAGGGCGACTCAGCCTGACTCATAGCAAGTAATGCTGAGCCAGCTTCAGCATGGGGGCTACCGGTTTCCCTTCCTGAACTTGGTGGTTAGGGATAACATAGTCTTAAAAGAATAAGGCTATATTATCCCCAGCAGCATGACTGCCAGGAATTGAGGACCAATATATTTGCAGGAAACGAAGTTGGAAAGGTAACTTTAGGGATTACTATCGGCAGTTCTGTTCCTGCTCAATCGTTAGTACCAGCAAAATGAGATATTTGAATGGCTGCAATGGTGCTTCACTAGATAGACATTTTGGAAATGAAGTTAGTGCTTTACTGTACGGTTTGGCTATTACCCCTTCCTTCTCCTGGTTACCTGACCTTTTGCTGAGGAGGTGCCAATTCAGAGTAACCTCAGAGTAGCTTCCTGATGAAGCAGTATTAGTCTTCTTGGACAAGCTCTTGTAGTCATGGGATCCTTTTTATTTATTTTTAAAGGTACTGAGTAGAAAAACTTAATAGGCTAGTATGAAATGTGGGGTTTAAGGATTAGCACTCAGTGAACAGCAGCCAAGTATACAAAACATAGTTTTAATAGCACATGAATATTCAGAATAAAAAATAATAACCTAATGCAATGATGTCTCTTCTCAAGATTAATTCTTTTTATGCTCTTTTCCCTCAACAGCAATTCTTGGTTGTTGTTTTAAAATTTCTTTTCAACTAGAACTGATCTCCACCTCTTCTTCCTTTGTCCCCCAATAATTAACTCTAATCAGTTCTCATACCTCAGAAGTACTCTGTCCTTCCCTTCCTGATGTAGAAAATATTTTACTCTTATCAGTCACTTCATCAACAATAAAAAGGACAAGAATGTCCACCCTTTGAAAAAATAGGCATTCCCTGAAGGCCCTTAAGAAATAATGGCAGTTGAAAATGGCCACTTGGGTGTTTGAACTCCCCTGTAATGAATGCAAGGTACTCCTAGATTGTTTGGAGTATCTTACCTTCAGGAATACCTGATCTGGCATCCTATCCCTACCCTGGCATGTGAGAAAGAAACCTATGTTTCTTTCTGCAAACATAGTGTGGCATTGCTTCTTCTGCTGTATTATTTTAAATATTAAATGAATACTAGAATAGTTGCCCTGAAGAAAAGGACAAACCAGGGACTGAATGAGAGGTCCTGGGGATTGGAATGACAGGTTAAGTAAACTGCTTCAGGGAGTAGGACAGGTGTGGAATAATGAACTCTAGGAATACAAAGAAATTTGTGGGATAAGAACAGCCTTTGGGAAGAATGTAAGCATAGTGGGTCAGGAGCTAGTATTACAACTCTTGAAAGTGAACAGACAGGAATAGAACTAATAGGCCAGGGACTGGAATGTACATATATAGCAACTTTCCCATCTTTGTAACCTTCACATGCCCTGGCCTACAATTCCCAGCTAGCATGCCAAACTCTTGTGCTGACTGAGAATTATGAGAGCTGTAGTTCAATGCACCTGAGTACAGTAGGATGGGGCTGCTAATGGATGAGTCCTTGCTAAAGGACTAGCAGCCTTAATTGGAATATGTGCTTGGTTCCATGAAACATGTAAAGAAGAAACCCAACTTTTAACCACTTTTAAATCCAGCTGTCATAATAATGGTACAATATAGTATAAAGTAATAGAAATGTAGGGATTATGCACTTTGAATAGAGAAGCTCCTAGGTATGAAAAAAGAATGAAGGCTGCATGAAAGCTTAGTTTTTATTACGGCCTCAGTGAAGTTTATTGTTTTAAATTGTTGTTTTTAATGTATTGTGTTTTTATTTTGTTTGCCACTCAGAGTTCCTTTTGGTAGATGGGTGGCTCTATGAATGTGTTTAATAAGTAAACTAAATAATAAAGGCATTTACAAAATGATCCTCTATATATCTACTCAAAAATCCCCTTGAAGGCAGCGAGATTTATTTCCAGGTGAGTGGATACTGCTGACTTCATCCTAATTCACTATCAACAACTGTCCCCAACCTGGTGCTCTGAGATATGTGACATTAAAATCTCAGAATTCTAATCACTGCATCTTGGAGGAGGTTGTTTCAGACAGTACACATTGTTTTGTTAAAAATTCTTGTTGTATTTGGTGTCACAGTAAAATACAACAAGAATACACAGTAAAATACAACAAGAATACACAGGACAGGTATTTGCATGATTTTTGCCTCAAGCAAAAGATCATGTAGTTCATTTTGAGTGCTTATTCACCCTGAGGGGGCAGGGAAAAAATCCCTGCCATTTGCTTTCACCTCAAGCAGCAAACTGTCTTGGGCCCGGGTCTATTATTTTAAATATGGTGGGCCTTCTTTTGAAAGACCATGTTAATAAAGTATCTTTTCAACAGCAAATTCCCACACTTTTAAATCTCCCCCTTTTAAATAAGACACAGAGAACACATTTTAAAAGAATGACATTTGGTTCCTTATTTATTTATTATCAGAGACCAAATAAAAAAGAAAAAGTGATATGACGAAGAGACAGTGACTAACATTAGAACACTACCATTTGAGTCTCCTAAACAGCAACATGCCATCCCAAAGTAGAACAAGTTTAGGCTTGTTGACTTTGGATGGCAACTGCAAAGGGACAAAATTGAGCAACTTTCTTAAGAGGTTGCAGTGAAGATGTTTTCTAGTAGAAATTGCATAGCCTCAGATTCGGTCCAGACCCTATGCTTAACAAGGAGTGAATATAAGAGTGCAGATCACCAGTCAGGGCAGAGTGGACAATGCAGCAAGATGTGAGTGATAATTTTATGGATACATCTGAGCATCTGTAGTGGCAGTCTGGGCAGGAGACATTTTTAAGCCATCCATCTGCCAGCTTCAAGGGTAGAGCACTGAAACCTTAAAAAGTACTTTGCAATAGTGAAAAGATTATTCTCTGAGGCAGAATTTGGAGCTTTAGATCTTTCAGTTTGTAGATCAAGATTGAGAATACATTGTTTAATTCCATAGATAGTTTTCTCCATTTGTAGCACTTGAGCTGAGAGGCTAAATAAATAAAAATCATTAGCAATTATTTTCTTAAATGTATCTATAAGAATGAGTTAGGCACTGAATCACTCTTCAAGTGTACTTTCAGCCAATATATTAGGTGACATGTTATTATGCAAGCAGCTGTAAAAATACATCCTAGTTCAAATCTCATGAACATTATGGATAAATTGAGGGGCATGGAGGATGATTCTCACAAATTTAGCTAGGCTGAATCTAAAGACTTTAAGTCTTTGTGAGGGCTGAGTTGTACACCATAAAGCAGAACTGACATTATCTTAGTACTGAACAATTTAACTCTCACTGAGGCAAAATTGTTACCTTTATGGCTTACATGGCTAATTATAGTATTTGTGCATTGGATGAAACTTTGTGAATTTGTTGTTACCATTTAGAGGATGAATATTTAAAGCACTTAATTTGTTCTATTTGGGTGCCATTAATTTGGCATTTATGTTGACAGTTGCAGTGTGTTTTTCTAAGTAGGATCATCTTTGTTTTCATACAGTTAATTATAAGTTTTTCTTGGTGGCAGAAACTGGCCTATACTAGGTGGGTTTTCTCAAGGTCTGCCTGAGACACAGAAAGAATAGCAGCCTTTGCATATAACAGTACAAGGTGGGTCTGTGGGTTACCACTTGGCAATGAAACTTGCTGGTTGATAAAGCCTGCATAATACAGTTAAAATAAAAACTGAATAGTGGAGGAGCAAGAATACAACCCTGTTTAACATTTAATTTAATGTAGTTTCAGAAATTTGGTCACCCCAACATCTTGTCCTTTTTGAGTTGGGCTCTGAGTTTGGAGATTTTTGAATGGTTACTGGGGGTTACTCATGCAATTGGTTAAGTAAGATCAACCTTAGATTGAGTGATTGATTTTATTCAATTTATAAGGCTGCCCATCTCACCAAAGCAATCCTGGGCACCAAACACAGTTAAAAACATCAGTATAATAATAATAGATAGAAATTTAAACATCACATGGGTCTAATTATTCATGACATAGATCTACTTCATTAATAACTGACAGTGATTAGTCAGTCTTTGGGTGAGATCAAATTCCTACATCACAAGTGCATTTGGGAGAATTGGTGACCAAGCATTATTCTGATTTTTGTTACTTTCATTTCTTGCTTTTCAGGAGAGCCTTTCATGGCATTTAAATACTGGGTATTGGCAGAGCTCATTCCCATATGGTTCCAGCTATGTTCTTATCTTACAAAACATATTCTACAGCAAATATACTGATTGGGTTCCCATGCTATATTAAGCCAAAATGTGGTTTGTTTGGTTTTTTCCTTAGCACGATGTATGAACCCATCCACTGTATCATTGTCTGAATATAAGTTTCATGTAATCTTCCACATCCTGTTGCTATTAAAACGGAGACTGCAACTCCAGTAACAATCAATATTCTTGTTTATTGAAACTTCATAATGTAAAGAAAATGACAACTGCATGATCTCAATGGAAAATTCAGATGTATTGATTCAACGCTCCTAAACCCATCCAGTTTGCTTATCACCTCCACCATATCAGCGACCCCTGCTTCTCGCCAGGCAGCTGATCGCTCTCCTCTTCCATCCTTAGTCTGGCGGTGCCTGGCTTCATTTGCACTTGTGACATAGGAAATTTGATCTCACCCAAAGACTGACTAATCACTGTCAGTTATTAATGAAGTAGATCTATGTCATGAATAATTAGACCCATGTGATGTTTAAATTTCTATCTATTATTATGCATTTACGCCTAACGAAAGTCTATGGAGTCAAAGCCTCTGCCCTTTGATTGTCCCCAATACCTACGTTTCCACGACACAACCCATTGTCACCTAGCCCCTCCTGCACTCGTGGCCAATTTCTCCCGTCCACTGTGTCTAATTCCTCTTCCACGGGCCATCATTTCTCTTTCACCTGGACTCTGCCCTTCTCCGTATTCCTAGGACAGGCGAAAGACGGATCCGAGCCTTCTGGCACGAACCAAACCCATCGGCGTCACGGGGACTCATCAACTCCACGATATCGGCGACCCCTGCTTCTCGCAGCTGATCTCTCGCCTCTTCCATCCTTATTCTGGCGGTGCCTGGCTTCATTTCCTTTAGCGCCGAGCGGCTCCCCCTCGCTGTCGGCTTCCTGTGTTGCAAGGAGAGGTGCGGGTAAAACTAAACTCCCGCTTCCGCCCAGGTAAGAACAAGCGAGGACTGCAAAGCGGCAGGTCTCGCCCCCCGCCGATCAGGTAAGGAGTCCTTCCGAACCAGAGGCGCTGCCGGCGACCCTCCCGGCTCCGGGAAGCCACAGTGCCCCTGTAGGGGGAAGGAGAAGCAGCGGGCTGCCGCTGGAAGGTCCATCAGTCTGGCTTTTGCGTTACGCCCGCCGCCCACTTCCTGAACGCTTGAAGCGTAATCGAAAATACTTCGGGAAGACTTGTTGCGCTTCGGGTGGGCGGGTTTGCTGAGCTTTAAACCTCTACGGTGGGGGTGCCTCTCCCTTCCCGCGGTAGTTTTTTGTTTCAGATGTTCAGAGCTACATCTGTGAAGATCCCGATGCTAATTTCCCCGATATATTAGGGTTTCCCTGCTGGACTTCCTCGTTTGGCTCTGCCTGACTGCTGACCGTGGAAAGGGGCCGCTTGTTTTGAAAGTCGCCCGGTCTCAAGCCTGAGCAAACAGCTTAAAGCCGCGGCTAGTGCAAAGTACAGGCGTGACAAGATATTTTCAGCTTGGCCGTTAACGTTAGCACCAGCGTGGTGGTTGTGCATTCAGGCAGCTGCCAAGGACCCAACAGTGCTGACCTTTGATTGGTGTTGGACCTCTGCCTGCTTGTGTAGCCTTTCCTTGTTGGTAACTGGGCTCAGGGAATAAACCCAAGAGGTGAAAGTAAGCAGAGGAAGCTACTCTCTCAGGGATCCATACTGATCCTCGACCAGCTGTTTCTGGACTACAAAACCCACCATCAGTGACAGAGAACCTCCTGGGAACTGTTCAGTCCCTCACAGCTAGTATTCTGTATCGGGAATCCTCAGTTCTGTGTCCTTCAATTCCCAGAATTCTCAACAAAGGCTATGCTGGCTGTTGAATTCTGGAATCTGAAGTTCATACACGTCTGGAGGACTCCAAACTTGGGAATGCACAACAGCAAACAAGGGAATACTGTTGTAAAGAGCCTCTGCCTTCTCCATTTGCTCCGCTTTTTTATGGGGGAGAGGTCAAGGAGAATTTGACCAGGTAGGGCTGCTTGGAAAATGTGATGGCATAAGTCAGATGAAGCCATGGTTACTTTTGTAAAAGTAACTCTGGCTCATTAAGTGTAAGTTTTTACGTGCTGAACCGAAAGTGCAACTAGCATATGGAAGAAAAAAGGAATGGAAGGTGTGCCTTTTAGGATGCCATTCTTTTTTTCAGTTTGGAAATTAAGTACAGTACTAGATTTAGGCAATGTTATTAAGAAGTCAGTATTGAAATAGGTTTGCTTCAGAGTGCATTTTTAACTCCCAGTCTAAAATTCACAAATAAAGCAAAATTTCAATATTATTTCTAAAAAATAAAAGGGGGATTCTTTCAAACTTCTATTTAAATCTGGATATATTTGGACAAGTAACATATAGTTATCCAAGAGGGTTCATTGTGGTATCTGTTGCATAAGAACGCTTCAAAATAGAGGAGAGCTTAGATGGTGATTGATATAATATTCTAGAATTTTCAGTTTCTCTTGTTGGGTAATGCAGGTTGAATTTGCATCTAAGAATTTGCCTAATCCCAACAGCAGGGCTGGAGAGAACACTTTTGTAATTCTAGTGTCACTCTATGCCTAAGGAATCCCAGTGAGTTCGCAAGCACAGTCAGGTTTTAAAAAGCCTGTCATGCAAATGTATCTATTAATACATAGAAGGCCCAGTCCAGAGGAAGAAACTTGAGACTGTGATGTAATAAAATGCATACCTATCCAGGGAGTAAACTCAGTAAAGTTTCTGAATAGGCATACTTATAATCATCTGCAAATACCATTAAATAAACACAGTGTGAGTTATTTAACTTCTATTCCTTAGTTCTCACTGACGTCAGCCAATGTGATATGCCTGCCTGAAAGAAATTCTATTTGAAGTCTGTAGGATCATATTCTTAATTGGCACATGGTTGCAGCCTAAGGATTCTCATTTGGTGAGACTTTTTATTTTTTTACTGAATCTTGCATATGCTCAAAAAGTAAGCAGGATTGGGCCTGGGTTGGTACTGGAACTGTAAACTAGACTGGGAAGTTGAAAGAACATCTGGAAGAAGGTACATGGAGGTATCCATGAGATAGCCAGGAATTAAGCTAGACTTAAGAATGCTTTATCTTTTTAAGTATATATGAGATAGATACCTTTTCACTGTACAACAGAGCAAGGCCTTCCTAATTAGAAGAATGATGATCATGATCATCATCTTCATCTTAGGCTTATCAATAATTTAAATTACAATTCTAAATAATTCTATTAAACTGCTAGTTCACATATGAGGGCTTTTTTCCCTCTTTTAGCTCAGAGCGATGGAAAATATATCCACTATGGAATCCAAATCTTGATGTTGTTCTTTCTGACATTGTGCTAAGCAAAAAATGACATTACGGCTTAACATTATACATAAATGTAAATAGAAAATGGTGCTGAATTCATTGAGAATTAAATTCTCCAGTATAATCCTGAACTGATTTATTCAGATGTATCTGTAGTTGTATTTGCATTCAACATGGAAAGCCAGGGATAAAATACAACTTTTGTTAGCGTGGCTCCTGTTTATCTTGATATGCTTCTACTGGTAGTAGTGGACAGTTTATACATGTTACCAGACAGTATGTCTATGGAAGTAATATGAATTTAAATAACAGCAGGACAACATGATGGGAACTTGTGCCTTTTTGCATTGGGCTAGATTCCATCTCCAGGTGTAGCAGGACAGTATTTAAATAACAAGAGCAGCATTGCTCATTTTAGGCTGAAATGTTCTCTGGACACACTATAATACTTGTACACACATATCCTATACATACTGCGCTTTTTTGTGCATCCTTGAATGTAGCAACAATAAGTCTAAAAAGGTATGTGTGCATGTATGCGTGTGCTTGCCATTTATGTTCTTGAGAGTAAGATGTGTTGAAAACCAAAGCTTAATCTGCATCTTTATTCTAAAATTCAGGTCATATTGAGTCTGCGGTGCAGATAAACCAGGATGCCAGAAAATCCTATGGCGGGTAAGTGTCTTTCAAATAAGCTTATCATGTGGTTGAAATAATTCCAGTTGTCTTAAGTAATTTCTTAATGAATTGTTATGATGTTTGGGTGATCCAACAGATAAGCAGCAGGTCCTGAGGATTCTGGAGCGTCTACTAATGAAACTTCATGAGAAAGGAGATACTTCCCAGAGTGATAATCTGGCTTTTCTATACAACACTCTCAAGAATCCTTTATTCAATCACATGCTGACTCTTCAGCAGTCAATCAAGCAGCTAAAGGATCAAGTAAGTAATAAAAGAGAAAGGTCTGACTGATGCTGAATGGTTACGTTTGCAAGATATTTTTGAAATAGTGGTAATGTTTGTGGGAGGTATCAGGATCATACCAGGATGATTTTGCATCTTTTCTCCTTCCTGTAATTCATTATTTAGTATCATTATTGAATTAGTTGAAGTTGCACAAATATTGAACTCTCAAATGCAGGGTTCTGGGTTTCCAAAAGCTTTTCATCAGGCATGATGATTTAAAATCCAGATGGGGGAAGAAAAAAAAAAAGGGAGGGAGTTAATGGAATTGAAGTTCAGCAACATTCTGCTTTGTCCACCTCCCACTTTGTCTAGAGTTTCTCAACCTTAGCAACTTTAAGATGTATGGACTTTCACTCCCCAACATTCCCCAGCCAGCATAATTATGACCTATTAGGGGAATATACCATTCATGACAAATTTGACGTGTCAAATCGGAGTGATATTTGTGCATTACTTTTGTGTGAAAATATATCTTTATTGTATACTATTCTACATGGCAAAACTGAACACATCTAACAGTTAAAAAAAGTAATCAGTACCACTTTATTTAAAAAAATAGCACTAAGAATTGGGTCAGGGTTTATTTATTATATTTATATCCTGATTTTCCAATAAAGATCTCAGGGCATTTACATGATTCGTCTCCTTGATGACATTGATGTACATATTGCTGTGGGATAGGCTAGGTTTAAGACAATGATCAGCCGCAAATCAAATCAAATCAAAAATTTATTGATGGTCCAAGACCAAGCACAATAAAAAACCAGCATTTAATACAATAACTATAAAAGGGAATTTTAAGATTGCGAGAAAATCCTAAAGCAATTAGCAGCTAATAGCATGAAGGAGGAACCAGATGGTTTCTCACAGCTACAGTTATTGATAGGAATTCTGCAATCTTCTTAGAGATTTCTAAAGGGTGGTCACCCAGGAGAAGGGTAACAGCCTCCTGGTCACACTGGCAATTACAGTTATTAACAATTAAACTTGGTTGCCACTGGGTGTGCAATGGACATTTTAATAGTACATATGGAACAGATTCTACCTCCAAGTCTGAACAGAAACAAGTTTGGCTTTCATATGGGAAGCTAATATATCTGCCAGTTGTTGCCCTAATAGGTAGCATCCCAATTCAGGCCAAAGTTAATAGTCTCCTATGTGGAGCATATAAGATGTTATAGAACTATCTATAACAGCTGCCAATGAATTTTGGAGATATATTTATCTGGATCATCGCCAGTCTTTACCTGACATTCTCTAAACAAATTACATCCCTTCAGTTAATAGCTGAATTACGGAATGTATTTTGTCTGAACAGTCTACAATACAGACTGGTTTTGTGACTTCTGTGATAACTCCTGTGCAAATATGGGTTTAAAGTGAATTTTATTTGATTCAAAATTATATGATGCTTTTTATTTATAAGGGCTTATATTCCAACCTAGTAAGGAAGCTCTAGGAAGTAACATGTTATTAAAATATACGTAATTAAAGTTTAATTCCTCTAACAGTATCATTAACTGTTGATACACACTATTTCTAAAAAAAAAGTAATAAATCATTAGAGTGCCACTTTTCTTGTCAGTTTTCAAAAGCAAAGTGCCTAGATCTTGGGAGCCAAAAATGTCTCTGATATAAAGCGCAGAAAAGAAATGCTATCCAAGGTATACGTGAAGTTTCAGATTTTCTGTTAGATATTGGTTCTACCTTTTTTTTTTTTTTGCCTTTGAGTTAGTCTTGATTCTTGGTGGACAAGTACATGCAGTTTTCTTGGCAACATTTGCAGAAGTGGTTTGCCATTGCCGTCTTCCTATGGCTGAGAGAGAGTGACCCAAAAGCACCTACCTGCCTTCTGTGCTTAAGGCAGGATTAGAATTTATGGTCTCCCAGCTTCTAGTCCAATGGCCTTTTGTCCTAAAATGTGTGTTATGTGGAGCGGAGCAAAATGAAGAGGCACTGATTGTCACTTAAAATTGAAAGGGTTTTGTCGGTTATTGTGATTTTTTTCCCCCTGAAAATGAAGATGCAAATCACTGTGACCAATTATGTCCCTCTGAGAAAATATATACAGATAATCTGATTATTGTCTTATTGTTGTCTTATTATCTGATCAAATTGCGCCTTTTCCACAATTTGATTTGGCTGGATTATATAATTACAAAAAACAACAACCCTGAGTTGCAGAATATTTTGAAATACTTTATTCTTCCCTGAGTTCAAAAGTTCCTTTATGTAAGAAAATGAAGAACGCGAAATAACAGTAAGTAGAATGAATGAATCCTAAACTAAAATATAAGAAGTGCCAACTTATATTAACAATTCAGGATGATTATTTTTTGTCCACCTTGCTTTTAGCTGCAAAAGAATTCTCTTTTTTGGCATTCATATACTTGAGGTAAATAATAAGTACTTGGTGTATTGACATGTTCAGTTGCTGGCTGATTTACTAGTGTTCTAGAAGAGAATGTTGTTTTTCAAAATATAAACGGAGCTGCCATCTTACTTAAGCAGTACAGTACGCCCACTAGTGCTATTATTTTGTATGAAGTATTTAGAATCTGTGGTAATATCTTGCTTTGTTCTTCACAGCTTAGGTATATGCCTCCAGATCGTTCAGTGGATTTTGACTTTACTAGGCGAGGGTTGTTGGTGTTTGATGCTGACCCACACCCTGTTGTTAATGAGAACATCCAGAATGACAAGAGGATGGCTCCGCTGATTTCCAGATTCGAAGTGGATGAATTTAATTTGATAATCCAAAGGATGGCGAAGGTAAAGATGCAATGGTATATTATATAAAAGTTCCCTTTTTATTCCAAACCTCACGGTTACTAAAATCAATTTATGAATCGTGAATTACATTTTTAAACAAAAGTCTGCTGATACTTTATTCTGATTGCCTTCTTAGAATATACGAATGCAATGCTTCACAGATAATAGCAGCGATTGATAGAACAGCCTCCTGGCAACTCTTTAAAACACAGTAACCCTTTTGGTCTCAATATCTGGCAGTTATTGTCCTTGTGACTTGCTGGTCAACAGTTCCAAAAATATTCTCCCAGAATTTCTGCCTTTATTCTCAGAGTACTGGAATATTCTATAACAATGGCATGACGGACTTATGGGACCATCTTTTCCCAATTGTTTCTACCTATCCACCTGGTCCAACAGGAGAGACACATTTCAAGTGCCATTGGCTAAGGAGTAGCAGCTGGTGGGGCTCAGGAGGAGGGCCTTTTCTGCCATGGTGCCCACCCTGTGGAACACCATTCCATCTGAGATTAGGTTAGCACCAACCCTGCTGTCCTTTCTTAAGACCCTAAAAATTTGGTTTGGGGCCTGGAGCCTCAGGAGTGTAATAGAGCCCATCTCTTGGCTTTGTTGATGCTTATTTTATGATGCTCGGCTGCTATGTGTTTTATTTTATATTATGTATTTTATTTGTTTTTTAATCTCTTTTATTGTATGCTGCCCAGAGTCACCTATGTGAGATGGACAGCTATATAAATCAAATAAATAATAAATAAAATGAACTTGAATCACTGCTGGTCTTTATGGCCAGGAAGACACAAAAGCCCCATGGTATCTGGAATGGTCATGCGTACTGTCTGCTACTTTGATGTATTGCGTGAGAAGGACTGAAAGGAAATTATGAAGACATTGTCTGTTGTCATGTTCTTTCCTGTGACTATTAACACTGATTGTGTAGGATCCTTGAACTGGAAGGTCTGTAATTGTCAGATGCAGATAATATTTCCTTTCAGTCCTTCAACAGATATGTTGCCATTTAACATGAAAAAAGCACTGTGGATAGTTAGATACAAGGCTGACATTAATAAAAAATGTGGTAAACAATCACCAGGTTCATATTATTGTACTGCTCCTTAATCTGAAGAGCCTTCTTGTAGCTTTTCAGACATAAAATTGCTGGCTTTACTTACATAAAACCTTGCATCCTTTTCTGCTTGAGAGGTCTTCTTTATACTTCTGCAGTTTTCTTCAATAAAAATGCCCTCTTTACTCTACCTGTGGTCTATACTAATCTCTAACAGAGCTTGCCAGAGATTCTACTGTGTTTCATGCCATGTACTTTAGCAGTGCCCAGTGGATGTTATGTGACCATAATTTCCTTTGTAGGGGGTTATGAGCTCAGTATTTGTGATGAGGTAAAGCCCTAGTTAAAAGAGAGAAAAAAAGGGTAATATCTCCCTCAAATCAGTCTGGTTTTCTGGTGACTACAACAGCATCTCCTTTTAGTTTTATTAGCAGCAATACAGAAATGGTTTGCCATAGACTGGGATTTTTAAAAAAACTTTCCAGTTTAACCTACAGCCTTGAGGTTTCCTGGTGATCTCCCATCCAAGTACTAATCAGGCCAGACCCTACCTAACTTTTGTAAAATGAGCCACGGTCAGCTTGGTCAGTGGTGCATTATACCACAGGCAAATTAGGCATTTGCCTAGGGCCCCCAAAAAGAGGGTCCTCAAAATCACATTTTTGGGCCTGCCCGCCAGTGGCCAGTGGCAGGGGAGACTCTTTCCTGCTCCACGTCTGGTAGCAAAACCTCAGAGTTTCTCCTGGAGATAGGTGGGGTGGGGGAATGGGGTGTCCTTTGCACACTCTCAGAGGTGGCAGGGGCCCAAGCGCTGTTTTGCAAAATATGCCGGGGGGGGGCGGCGTTAAGCTGTAGAATGTGCACTTGCCTGACAAGGCCCCTTGGTGCTCTGCTCACGCTCAGAGGCAGGCTGGGCTTGGCCCCACCTCACCCACACCCTGCTGAGCTCCACCTGCCTGAGGATGCCCATCTCCCTCCCCAACAGGAACCGGCAAAAGAGCAGTCCTGGGCGGTGGTGGCAGTGAGAACAGCGGCAGCGGGTGTAGCTTTGGGACTGAGAAGGTGGGTGGTCAGGTGGGTGCCACTTGGGGGATCTGTGGAGGGCATTAGTTGAGGGCACCTGGGCCCAAGTTCAGCTCCCCCCTTTCTCATTGGCACTGGAACAGCCAGACCCCTTTTCCTCCTTGGGAAGTTAGGGGATGCCATGTGGGGCCAAGAGGGCAGGGGGAGTGTCATTTTTTTTTTTTGCATCAAAACTTTGGGGGACCCTAAATTTTATTTTGCCTAAGGCCCCATGAAGGCATAACGTGCCACTGAGCTTGGAGTTGCTGACTAACTGCTCAGTGAAAAATAGTATTTTGACATTGATTAAGGTTACTTACGCTACATGGGAATTTAACTCCAGGCTGTGTCCTACTTAGTGACATAGTTTGAGTCACTACAATGGCTTATAGCATTAAATCACATGGAAATAGCAAATTATGAAACAATAGAACTATTGTTAAAGCCATTTTTTTGCTGTAAGTGTAATTTTTGATTGATCAGAATTTTATACGCTTGAAAATATTTTCTGTAGAAACAATGACACCTTTTACAGGTAGTCCTTGGTTAACAATCACTTGTTCAGCGACTGTTCAAAGTTATGACGGCATTTAACAATTGGTACTTACAACCAGTCCTCAAAGTTCTGACCATCCCAGCACCCCTGCAGTCACATGAACACAATCTGGGAGCTTGGTAACTGGCTTGTATTTACGACAGCTGCAGCAACCTGCAGTCACGTGATTGCCATTTGTGACCTTCCCTGCCCGTTTCTCACAAGCAAAGTTAATAGGGAAGCCGGCAGGGAAGGTTGCAGATTGCTCCAATAAGTCTCTCCCACCCAGCAACACCTACCCCCTGGCCCTGCTGCCTCACGCCGCGCTTCACCAGCCTCCCGCATACCCTCTCCCACCTGGCAGCAGCCACTTATCTGTCTACCGGTCTGCTTCTGGGACTTGCAACTTCCTGCTGGCTTCCCCACTGACTTTGCTTGTGAGAAGCCGGCAGGATGTTGCAAGGAGGTGCTCACTTAATGACCCACGATACTCACTTAACAACAGCAACAGAGACTGCTGGGATTGTCATTGCTAAGTGATGCAGACACATGATGTAGCACTTTACATCTGCATCGCTTAGTGATGGAAATTCTGGTGCCAATTACAATGGTTAAGCAAGGACTACCTGTATTTATTTATTTATTTATTTAGGAGAAATGTTGTATATAGATTTTATTTTAAGATGGCTTTACAAAACAAATGGAATAGATATAGGGTTAATGTTTTGAACATGAAGAAAGTGTGACCATACTTTTTAGGTTCTGCAGATTTGGTAGATTTTCACTTAAGTTTAAATACAAGTTTTAGTTTACCTTTATTAAGAGAAAATCATATTTTGCAATTGTAGAAATACTTTGTTTATAACATTACTTTTCTCTTTTTTAGGGCAGGCAAATTGAGTATATAGATATCGAGAAACCATTTAATGGGGGCCTTGGATTTAGTGTGATTGCTCTTAAAAACCAAAGCATTGGAGAAGTTGGTATCTTTGTGAAAGAAGTACAGCCAGGAAGCATAGCAGCCAGGTAAGAAATTTGTTTCCTATGTAGCAAGACTTCTTGACACAATCTAAGATGTCCTTTTGAAATTTTCTGGATTTTATAGTTTCCCTGGCAACCTGGCCAGATGGTAACTAGATCAGATCAGGACACACTTCAGGTCAGCTTTTTCTGTGATAAATGGGATGATGATGGTACAGTTAGTAAAAAATTTCAATAGTTCCATTACAATGATTATACAGTATTGCTCTCTGTTAAGAATATATCGTCTCCTCGAAGAGGCTGACTGAACTTAATGATTTCTTGACATTTCCTGGGAATTATCTTGTCAACTTTTTAAAGTTCTGATTTCCTGCTGGAAGGGAGAAACAACTATGGTGATTTACATAATCAATCCTGAGTGCCTTCTCTTGTTGAATAGTCCCAAATAAGCTCCTTGGCTTTTAAGGAAACATGATGCGATAAAGAAATAAGACAAATCATGGTGGAAAGTTAGAATGAATCTCACTGATGGTGGACAAGAGGCCATTTGAAGGCATAATCAGTGTTGGCGGTATGGAGTTTATAGTCTTTCTAGATAGAATCATTCAATTGAGTTTTTGGTTAATGGGTGGTTTATTAAAACAGAATTTAGTTTCATAAAAGAAAAATATGTCATCATTGATAGTACTTCATGATCTGGTACATCTTAGATAAACTTACTTATAAATGTAAGTAAACTGAATGTTATAGTTGATATACATGCAACTGGTGCAGCACAGTTCACAGTTCTGTTATTTGATATACCCATGAAACCACTGGCAGAGAGTGAATCAGTTCACACATCACATTTTAGCTGAAATGAAAGACCATACTAAACCAAAACCAAACCACAACATTGCTTAGTACGGTGTGTAAATCCAGCCTTTGTCTAGATTTGGGGGCTTGGTGGCACCTTATGCTGATCGTACCCAATGTTGTAACTTAGTTCGTATACTGTTATAATAGAAGATGCTGTTTGTTTGGTTTTGGTTTATATCTGAGCCCAGCCATTGTAATCTGTTGGCTATGCTTTATGCTTTAACATGTTATATAAAACCTGTCAATTGTACTTATTAAAAAAAAAACGGTGATTACACAAACTGTGGCTTAGTGCAATATCTCATTTTGCATCTAAACCCAAGAATCTGTTTGCTAATATTCAATATACCTGTGGGTTGTGTTTGTTTAATTTATTCTTTAACAATTTGAAGAAAGGTTTCTGCAGCACTTTTAACTATCATCTCTGCTTTATCCAAGGGATCAAAGGTTAAAGGAAAATGATCAGATATTGGCTGTAAATCATACACCATTGGACCTGCACATTTCTCATCAGCAGGCAATCCTATTGCTCCAGCAGTCCACGGGGTCTTTACATTTGATTGTGGCCAGGGGCCCCACCCAAAGCAGCAGTAAGGACTCCTCTGCTGTTAGTGATGCTAATGTACCTGAAATTGTAAGTTCACATTTTATAAGAATCAGAATATGATTTTGCAAGAGTCTTTAGCACGTCTCCAGTGTTTACACGTTAGATAAGTTGCGTTGTGTAATTTTACTCCATACAGTTTGTTCTGGAAGTTTTTGGAACATCCTTATTATTCTGACTATAGGAGCTGCTTGAAACATAGTTAAAAAATTATCCATGCACAGTACTGTAGTCTAAGATAGCAGGATATCACATTTTTTGGCTCTTAAATGATTTACGTAAATATGCAAGTAGTGGCCAATCCACTGAATTGGAATACAATTTCTGATGTTGGTCTATAATCATTTTTTGTTTTTGTTTTGCTTTGTGCATTTTGAATACTTACATTTGTTCACAACTTTCCATTAAAAAAATGGATGGTAGATAGTATGGGAATGGTCCAAAACCAATATATTT